GATATGGGAAGCAGAGTAAGGTTACTTTGTCAGGGTTACTAAACTCCATTGATGGGTTATGGTCAGCTTGTAGTGATGAGAAGATTATTGTTTTTACGACAAACTTTGTGGATAAGCTTGATCCGGCATTGATACGCAGAGGAAGAATGGACAACCACATTGAGATGTCTTATTGCAGGTTTGAAGCTTTCAAGGTTTTGGCTAAGAACTACTTGGAGGTTGAGGAACATGAGTTGTATGCAGAAATAGAGATATTGCTAGAAAAAACCGACATGTCTCCTGCTGATGTTGCTGAGAATTTGATGCCCAAATCTGATGAAGAAGATGCAAATATTTGCCTCAAGCGTTTGGTTAAGTCTTTGGAGGAAGAGAAGGAGAAAGCGAGGAAGTTGGCTGAAGAAGAAAAGAAGAAGAAAGCAGAGAGGGAAGCAAGGAAGAACAAGAAGAAAGCAGAGCAAGAAGAGAAGAAGAAAGCAGAGGAAGAAGAGAAGAAGAAGCAAACAGATGAAAAGGGCAAAGTTGCTGAGGAAAATGGTAACAAGATTTGATCAAAGATATGACCAACGTTATATTAAGTCTATTGTCGTAGCTTTTATTTTGGTATGGTGTTGTAAAATAAATTCGGTGAGTTTTATAAACTTTCTTATTTGTTTTATCGATTTTCGTCATATCTTTCGTTATTCATCTTCAGCCTTGGTTTCTATTATGTCTCAGTAGGTTTCATTGGATTTTAGAGTTTTCAAAGAAATTTGAGAGTTTGAAGAATGAAGATCTCGATTTAGGGATTGACAACTTGATTTTCTCATCAAAATGTGATGCTAAAACTTCATTGACTACCTAGTTATTATCTTAGGTTGTTTGATGCGCCAAGATGTGATGGTAAGGTATTTTGTGATCATATTGAACTTTAATATAATGCATGGTTGACCTCCTAAATTCTACCAAAATTTTATGATCTTATGTTATTAGATATAGTAATTAATATTGCGATAGTAGCTCAATATAACTTTGTTATGCAAGTTCTAGAACAATTAGTAATAATTTTCTTAACAACTACTTTGTTTCTGTATATATGCGTGAATTCTCTGATGTGCAATGATTTTAATTCAAGAATTTACATTGCTGTTCTTTTTACATTCTTGCATAATTAAAAAACAATCATTCCATGTGTTGTCTTAACTTTACCTACTCACATATATTTACTAAGTAAAACTTCGTATATGACCAGAACCAA